GGCATAGTAATGGCTGAAGTTGACTTCTGTCCATTTTGTGCTAGATTTTGTGTGCATGTGTATAGATCTAGACCACTAAGGGGTTGGCTCTAGATAAAATTTGGTTATTATAATAGATGAACTAGAAGATCTAGCTACATGCACTTCCTGAATATTGACTGAATAAAAATTACCAATTACATTTGGTCAAGCAGTTAGATCTAATGCTTGCAAAACCATTCTTAAATTGTGTTACAATTAATAATGATAATTATTTTTTAAGAACTGACACAAATCTTAAATGAAACTACAAGTGACAGTTAACAGAGACAGAGTGAATGCGAGGTAACTGTCCAGTGTTGAGGAGATAGTCTAATATAGCTCCATAGCAGAAATGATACTGCTCCTGGAGTATATGGTATACAAGGGACAAGAGAGATAAAAATTGGAAAGTGGTAAAAAAATCTTTTTGTCTTCCTAGCAATCCTTGGTCTACTGTAATAATTATATTACAACAGTAAATGTCTGCAAACATACGTATAACATGAAAGCTTCAACCTCTGAATAAAAATAAAAACAATCTAATTCTACAATCATAATCACCATGATTACAAATAATTCTTATCTTAATTTTTAAAAATAGGCAAAAATACAGAAATCTAGTTAATTCTAAAAACTAAAAGAACAAATTATAAGCAACATAAATTCAAGACACTGCAATTAAATAATACTTCATAGACAAGAGATAATGGAAAAAGATGAAATAAATGTATGCACATATAAAATAGAAAGGTGCACAATTAATCTACTGGATCACTGTAGTCACCTCCTACCATGGCTTTGAGAGAATCAAGGAGGACAGCAAATGATGGCCGATCAGAAGGATTCTATATACAGAAAAAGTGTATGTGAGTACTATGATAAATAATAATGAGTATATTGTGTACATGAATGAGTATTGTAGATTGGGAAATAAATAATTCAATTTAGTGGCCAACAGCAAAAATTTTAAACATGAAATATTTCTATATAATCCAAACAGATCCAAACAGTGAAATAAAATAACATGTAATTTTGAATTTATGACACAGTTTTTTTCCGTCCGTGGTACTTCTGCTCAGCTAGTCAATTTTATGACAGATCATAAGTGTGGAGTACTAGGCTCAAACTTTACTATATAAAGCAATGCAAGGAGAAAAATCAGTGTCAGGATTGGTAGGTACGGCGCATTTTAATGTGTTTTGTTCTGCATGGTTGAACATGTAAATGTGTATTTGAATATTCAAAGTTTAGGTGGAATATAAAATTCAGATAAAAAATTAACAAATAACATGCAAATTTAAAATTTGGTTAAAACTCAGTGTCATTATCACAACATATAATTAATGAAAAATTGTTAAAATTATATACACAGACAATATGACATACATTAGTTTGGGCACTTCATTATAGTTAATGTAACTCTGAGAATTTCAGCTAATTAAATTTGTAAAATTAATTTTGATCAAACACCATTCATTTATAAGTTATCTATGTACCCGGTACATGTATGTATCAACAGAAAGTTTGAGTCAAATTAAGTGATAATTTCTTTTGCCAATTAAATACATGTACATGTACATATTTGACAATACAGCTACAAACAACATTGTAGGTTCAATTTTAATCTACTATAAATACGTGTAGCATGCTATTTAAATTACTACCGGTAATTGGAGAAACTGCATGGCCAAAGACAAATTGAGCAGCATATGCACATGCATGTAATGTCATACCTTCTGCCAACTCCTTTTCATTAAATCATAAACTTTAGAAGGACATAATTTAGGTTTTTCTAATCGATATCCTTTTGAAACCTAGAACAGAGCAAGTAAAGAGAAAGGTAAAATGGTTAAAATAGAGAAATAATTATAAAGAAAGAAATAAAAACACACTTACTTCATCTAACGCTTGAGGATTAGTAAAGGCTGGGTAAGGAGTTTTACCACCACTCCACAACTCCCACAACAAAATACCTAATGAAAAAATAATGTATTACATAAGTACATGTCTTGCTACTTTTGTTTGCGAAATACACAACTCACTTATTTTTGTATAATGTACATGCATGATTAGAATTAATAATTAATAAAAAAATTTCAGTGCCCAACTTATTTTTAAAACAAAATATTACAATTATGTAGCTTACCATATGACCAAATGTCTGATTTGCTGCTAAATCTAGCATGAGTGATGACTTCTGGTGGTGACCACTTAACAGCATACTTGGCACCTACAGATGCTGTGTACTCATCATCAGGAACAAATCTTGCTAAACTAAAACCACCAACTTTAACAATATTCCTATCACCAACCAGACAATTTCTAGCAGCCTGCAGGTGTGTGCAGAAGAATGGCAAAAATTTAAATGCTTCAATTTTGGTGAATTTACATTGTGGCATGTGTTGTAGCTAGCTGGTCTTATTTTCATCTCAAAAAATACCATATTTATCATAACCAACTGAAACTTTTTAGCAACTTTTGTGGTTACTTTAATCTTGTGTTTAAGATTAGAAATCTGTTCCATATACTGACTAAATAAAAATGTCAAATATTGATTATAAGATGAGAGTAATCACAAATGTTGCTAGCGCTACAAGTATGCTGGGACAATGGATATGTACTAAAGTAGAAAATCCAAAAACAAAGTGAAGTGTCAGTAAATTGCTTATTCAAAAGATGCATGCAGTAAGCTGACCAACAGCTAGGTGAACCACCCTGACTCATTCACTCACCAAATCTCTGTGTATAAGACCAGATTGTTCAAAAAACTTCATACCATCACTAATCTGTATAGCCATGTCAAGTATAATGCCTGTTTTTTTCACTAAATGTTGATTATTACGAATATACTGCAGTAGACAACCATTAGCCATTAATTCAGTGATGATATAAACAGGTCCTTGTCTGATACACACTCCATATAACTTTACTAAATTATCATGTTGGAATTTCCTGCAAACACAAAAATACAAAATGTGAAAAAGACAGTCAATAATAGTAAGTGACTTGCTACTTGCTGTACTAAAAATAAAAAAGTTTATACTAATTCATATTTCTCACAGGATGTTTTAAAATTAAACACATCATACATGCATGCACATTATCATGCAGAAATCATTACTATTAACAAAATTTACAGCATCAATATTGCTTCTTCAATGAAGTCGTCTTCATTCATTACATCTTCCTTTATCATTTTAATAGCAACATCAACTTTATTACGCCATTGACCTGCTACTACCCTCTATAGGGAAAGAAACAATTTATTATAAATTACAAAATAGGGAAATAAAGGAGCGAAGTGAGCATTAATTTAAGACGTGATTGTGCTACATGATGTGCATATAATGTGCTAAGCAATAGACTTACTTTAAACTCTCCACTGCCTAGTTCTTTACCAAATGACAGCTCAGATTTATCAATTTGCCACTTATAATCTGTAATAGAATGAACAAGATGAAAGAGAGAAGGTTTTGTGAATATTTTTGTCAAAATCTTAATTTTTACAACTATTTATGCATTACTGTATCTATCACAAATTACCAAATGCAGATGAGAGAACTGGTTGGTCAGGGGCCAACAAAGTAGGGGGTCGTTTTAATCTGGTATCTAAACCTAATGATGATCATATGTGTATCAATAATAACCATGGTTTCAAATGAGACTGACCTCCTCCATTCAGTTTGTAATATTCAATAAGTTCTGTAATTGTTGGAAAACGATGTTTCTCAGATACAAAGTATTTTTTCTCTTCATCATTTTTAATGTGATAATGGTAGACTTTACCATTTTGACTAATGATGGTATAGGACAGATATATATGAAAGTCAAAAATTATACAAGAAGTTTAGTTATCATAATAAATAAAATGATTAAAAATTCTGCTCATAAGAATTTAAGGGAACAGACAACACATGTAAAATTTATAATCATAGAAGAATCATAATTTGAATCACAATTTTAAAAAATTTGTTGGTAACTAAAAAATTATGATTATAAGTCAAATTAATGATTAATTTGGTAAGTGTGTAACATATGAAGAAAAATTTGGCAATTTTTCAAAAATAAAACCGGCCCACCAATCTGAACTATTATAAACATGCTCAATGGTACATGGCCACAAAATTAAGCCTACCAATCACAAAAAGTTCAGCAATGTCATAGATAGTAGAGTATAAAGGGATTGGAAACCACCGTTCCCGGCAGGAAATGCTAGTTGTCAATACCGTATTAATTTTAAATTAAATTTCTATTTAAAGAGATAAAAATATTGAAAAACACAAGAAAATGGAGGGATGAAGCAAGGATGTTGGAACTTTCCCGGTATTTTTTTATTCTTCCTTGACTTTTATGTTGACAAAAATGATTTCTTATCATTATTTTGATAATGAGAAAGCATCTTGCTCTTGCTTGATGAGGTGGATCCTAAAAGAAGTGCTGCATTAGTGTCAAGAGACTGTCTGATCATTATGATGCCTAAATAGTAGGAAATGAAGCT